GAATGTGTTCCACAGATACAGCTTTGAAGCTTTGATGTGGAACTGACCACACGCTAGACACCCAACCTTAAAACACCTTGTGAGGCAGAGTGTGTGATCCTCAACCTGGTCTGGAATGCAGACGCATGTAGTCAAAAACGGCGGATACAACTGCGCTCAAAAACCCTTGCCGGAGCCAGATTTTCTATTGTGAGTGTAGACCCCAAGTCAATCAAATGTGAAAGAAAAAGACGAATCTTGGCAGTCTGGGGAAATACCCAGCTGAAAATGGAAGAGAGGAACAGCGTGTTACGAAGGAATATGCGGAGGGCGTAACTGCCCGAATATATACATATATATTTAACAGCAAAGTGCGCACACAAATCACAGGTCAAAAAGATAAAGAGATCAAGCGATAAAGAGGGTTCAATACCAGGGGATTGAACTATAATGTAAAGAGTTAAGTTCAACAAGTGTATAATGTATGACGAGAGGTTAAATCAGGATGACATTTGTGACTGATCATCAAATGGATAAATGAGATTGCTGTAGAGCTTTGTTTGTAGATAGGCGACATTACTTTTATCAAGTATTCCCCGAGTGGGACTGGTTCCACTTCTCGAGGTTTGAGACTCGGGAATTTTACTGTGTCTGCGAACGACCAATCGCTTTTACCTCGAGAAGTTTATTAACTGCGAACAAAAATTACGTTCAGCTAGATCCGGGAAGCTATAGCTGTTATCCTCAGCGTAAAAGAATTTCATCAATACTTGTGGGGCAGAGTTTTTGAGTTACAGAATGACCACAAGCCACTACTTAGTTTGATGGAGAAATTTGAAGGTATTAACCAAGTGGCACCACCCCGAATGCAGAAATGGGCTTTATTGCTATTTGCCCTACAACTACAAACTTTAATACATTCTCGGAACGCAAAATAAAGTGGCGGATGCTATGAGTCGCTTGCCTCATCCGGATGCACCAGGATGCGTATCAAAACCAATAGAATTAGTAAACTTGGTGCGACATGTAAACAAGGTGCCTGTCATCTTTTCGGATATTTGTCGAGAGATGGAACGGGATATCAAATTGACTAGAATTCAACGTTTTCTAAGTTACGGATGGCCGCGAACCACCGAAGGCCAAGTCGCGGGTTTTACTCAACGAAAGGATGAACTCAGTCTTGAAGATGGATGTATATTATGGGTCTCACGCATCGTTGTTCAACCTAGCTTACGACCCCAGATACTTGCAGAGGTACATACAGCGCATCCAGGCATTTGCAGAATGAAAGCACTAGCCAGAGATTAGGTTTGGTGGCCTAAGATAGATGAAGATATGGACCGACTACTCCGGACATGTGAGGTATATTAACGGTTTCAAAGGACTGCATCACCAGTTCTTCTGAGTCCTTGGAGTTGGCCCGAAAAACTGTGACAGCAGGTTTATGTAGATTATTTTGGTCCTCACGACAACTGCATGTTCTTAATGATGATTGATGCACATTCAAAGTGGGTCGAAATTTATCCTGTGCCGCACGCCAGTTCGGCAAATACAGTAAATTGCATGCGTACATCATTCAGCACATTCGGTATTCCACAGACTATGGTGACCGATAACGGTACTCCGTTTACCAGGAAAGAGTTTAAACAATTAGTTCAGAGAAATGGCATACGTCATGTCAGATTTGCCCTTTACCATCCAGCCTCCAATGGGCTGGCGGAACGAACCGTTCAAACCGTCAAACAAGGTTTACTGAAACAACAATTTGGAACTCGAAGGGCCCGATTTGCGAGGTTCTTATTGACATATCGTACAACCCCAACAGAAAGCACGGGAAAAAGTTTGATGGGACTAATGTTTCGACGTAAACTACTAAGGAGACTGAGTCTCGTTTCCCGAGAACCAAAAGTTGATATCATGGAAAAACAATGGAAAATGAAAGATAGATATGACGATTCAGTCAAACACTGGAAATTCGAAGAAGGCGACCTGGTGTACCCAAAATTATTACATGAGCCATCTTGGGAGCCGAGTGTAGTAAGGTGCACTAACGGCCATCAAAATGGAATCGAGCTTCCGGACGGAAGAATAGTGATATGCCATAACGACCAAGTTCGTACCAGACATGTACCCGAGGATAAACCATACGAAACGACTCCGGTCATTGAGAATAATTCCATATCCCACCATGAGGAATCAGCACCTGAACACACTCTCCGTCGATCAAGCAGAGAATCAAAGCCAGTGAACAGATATCAGACAGGATAAGGCCTCATCACACAAAGGGGAAAGGAATGTGACATGTGCCATCGTCAATTATGCCGTCAATCCATTCTCCGTCCCACTCGCCGATGCTTATCTCTCAGACGAAGACCAGTGTTTACCTCACCCACATACACACGCACACACACGGGCGCTCACCCGCTCGCACACGCACACAGACCTCACAACTCATTCCTATTGGTTGACCTGTTAGCCACTGACCTATTGTAAATTGTCATGTGACGCATGATTCATTCAGTAAAGCTACGTACTCTGGACTACACGTGTTCAGTGTCTTGTTCTCCAGGTTTACTCCGAGTTAGCTTGCTTGCCACCGGAACATTGGTGACGGGAATAAAGTGTTGTACGATCTTAATCGTATTCTCTACACTAACTGTGGAAACGTTAGGCTCAATACGAAAAACAAACCATCAATGACTGTTTGGTGCAGATGGAAACGTACATTTTGTGACTGCATTGAATTACTTTGGCCCTGAACCCCGGCACAATTCTGTCAGAGGATAAGCAAATCAAGTTTCTTCGACAACATCTTGGTTCAGAATGCCAGAGGCATCTTTATATCCTACGCATTTATTAGAAAAATTATCTGCATGACGCATTGAATGCTCTCGATGGACTTTTGGGCCTTCGAGTGCATGTGAATATCGCCCGTTTTACATTACGCAAGTTGCATCAACAACCGGAGGAAACGGTTGATGATTTCATTTTACGTATTCAGCTAGCCATTCCAGATTGCCGTTGTCAAGAGGTGCCACCATCCAAGTTCGAAGAAGTCATGGCAACCCAGTGCTTATTGGCAGGAGTCTTGGAAGATAAAGCTCGTGAACGACTACTATCAACGGATGACGGTGCACTCAGTTAGGAGAAAGCTCACAGTATTGTCCGTCAACACGAAAACGTAACCAAAACACTCAATTATTACGAAAAGGAATCGCCGGAGATTGTTCAAGTACTCACACCGGGTAAATCTACACAGGTGTTCAAATCATCCCATACGTTTACCTGTTATCGATGCGGGGCCAAAAACAGTGCGCAGTCAGAATGTCGTTACATACAGAGTGTTTGTCATAAATATGGTAAACAAGGGCATATAGCGCGTGTGTCGATCAAAATCTTCCGCTACTTTAAGTGGTTCAGATAGAACCAAGAGCGTGAAACAACAGGAAGAAAACGTATTCCATTTAGTTTCACACACATCACTCCAAAGTCTATCACCTGTGCCACTGTATTCCGTTCAATTCCTAATAGAAGGACAGCTGGTAAAGATAGAGATCGATGCCGGTGCATCAGTAACAATTATCAGCGAGCACGATCTCCCCAAGTGACCTCATTTAAATGTTACTTCAGCAACGTTATAAATTTATACAGATCAACAAATCCCCATTCTGGAAATCTGTCACTTTCATGTAGAGCATGACTCAAATCTCCTTGGCCAAGACTGATTAAAACAACTGTCCGAACTAATACAGCATTTACATAACAATAACGCTGCGGACTTGCTGGAACAACTACTGACCCAGTTTGCGCCTGTTTTCGAAGAAAAAGTATTGAGAAAACCAACCAAATTTTCAGTTACACTTATTGTCCGACCAGAGGCAAAAATTTGATTTTTCAAGGCACGCAGTTTGCCGTTCTCCATCAGACCGAAAGTGGAGGAGGAGCCGCGACGCCCCGAAGAGCAAAACGTCATCACGTCCGTGAGACACTCAGACTGGGCAGTACCGGTTGTACCCGTCCAGAAACCAGACGGCTCGGTGCGGATTTGTGGAGACTACAAATTAACAATCAACAAAGAGGCCGCAATGGAACATTAACCAATTCCGCGTATTAATAATAATAACGGTATATTTCGCGAAGCCCGCGAAGCATGCTACTGCGCATGATCAAAATGCACAACAATGTAAAAAATGAACGGTGGAGACGCAGGGTAATATTACAAGGAGTGTAGGAAGTAATTTTCAAACAGATACGTTAAATAACGCAAATGTGTCTTGCGTTGAAAACGAAAAACAAAGCAAACAAGGCCATACAATGGGTGATCTGCTATGTAATGCACATCACTGTGAACGTTTGTCTTATGAAAAGTAAGGGCAAGACAGAAAATTGGGGGTTGGAATATCCGCTCGGGAGAAAATGCGCGGAAACGAGTTCAAAGAACAGGAAGAGAATAGGGAAGAAGAAAGATTTATAATTTCAGAGGCAGAGCTGCAATAGAGCTGAAGGAAAATACAGTAATTCAAAAACAGACAACAGGTGGCTTGTAAATATACTGTTTCAAATGTCAACACAGTTGAAAGGAATTGATCACAGAACAATAGGCTTCGGGCTTCACTGTTAACGAACTGAGTGGTTTTTATTTATATTATTGAAGCGTTGGTCGCTTTAATAATAATAATAATAATAATAATGTATATTTCACGAAACCCGTGAAGCATGCACAAGGCATGATCATATGTTCAATATAATCATATGTACAACGACAGAGCAGGTAAATGGATAAACTAATTGAGAGACATACATACTGGAGATGGTATGGGAGCGGAACGAAAACGCTGTGTAAACGGAACACAAAGCGGACAAGGTCACAAACGATGGTGTGGAGGATGGAAAAATGCGCTGTATAAACAAATCAGTCGGAATTGAAGTCACTGTTAACCCGTTATCGAGGGGATTCGGCGTGCAGCTCTAATGGG